AAAGGTCCCAGAGATATGAAGACTGGCAAGTGACAGAAATTCTGCATGTGGCTTTTACTTATACGGCGATTTTCCTCTTTCCCTTTCATCCCTCATCCGGAGTGTTTTTACCCTTTACTCTTTTGATGCAAGAAAAACATGATTTAGCAGCCTTTGCTTATTGCATTGACTTACTTATTACCTTAGAACAAATAAATAGCTGCAAATTTATGACTGATTGACAGTCTTTCCAAAGTTTGAAGCACCTTTAACATTTGGACAGATAATTAGGAAGACCCCTGCTTGCCTATATTTTGTTCAGTCACCATCATACTGAAAAATTCTAACAAGACACATTGAGGTTCACCTGAAGTGGACGTCCTCAAATTCAACACTACCACCATTTAATTGCAAGGGTTTCGCATCATCTGCATCCACAATTTCTGATTTTTCCTGGAGATACAAATGGCACGATTGAAATATTTTTGTTACAAGATTTTATTAACTGTAATATAAAGTTAATGCCAAGTTAGAGTTCTTCAGTCACATAACTATAAAATATTCTACACAAGCAGTCAGATAATTTCAAACATTAAACATGTCTTTCCAGGAAACATCTCTGTAATTTTATGAAGGAATTCCATTTGCATAATGACTCATGAGCATGCCAAAATGGTGAAAAGCAATAATTATTGAGCCTACCATTTCAACTCTAATGACCAAGCATTGGTTAGAAGATGAAATGACATCAGAAATTACTCATAAAACGCATTGGAACTTGATAATTTTAAACACCAGGAGAAAATAGTGGCAAATGCCAATGGCATGCCTGAAATTGTTAGTTCAGGAAAGTAGAACCATTTCTACTTGAACCATGGTTTGTCAACAATTATACTAGATGATATAAGTTTCAACGTAAATCATAAAAAAAAATAAAAATAAAAAAAAATCTTTCTATAACAATGCTTCATCACTGCACTTCTCTTTTCTCGTCATATTAAGGTTAATGCCAGTAGTAGGCAATGGCAAATAAATTGCTGAATTAAACAGCGGCATCACTTCACACAAATATTTTATTTTGTAAAATAGCTCCTGCTCAAGTAACAAGAAGATCACAACTATCAGAAGAAGTGGCCAAGTTTCAACTCCTACAAAGTTTATGAAAGACTGAGATGTAGGCAAAAGCAAAGAATGAAAGAAGAGCTTATGAAATTTCATAACATGGAAAGCAATAGTTACAAAAGATGATACAATACCTCGAGTAATTGGAACATGGACTTCATGTCTACCAAACTTTGAACTGTTTCCCTATATACACTGCCAAGAAAGTTGAGTGGAAGAGAGAGTTGAAAAAGTAGCCCATTAACCATGACCTACAATTTAGCAATGATATTATCAATCACATCGAATAACTTATACCATTATCAACACAGTATATGACGGAGAGGAAATTGTGATGGTGGCAATTTTACCAAGTCTCCAACAGTCATATTGCCATTCATAATCCCACTGGAACACCACACCATAGCAGTTGACAGAGCTGTGCTAAATATCAAACTCTGGCCAAAGTTTAAAAAGGCAAGACTTCTTTGAGTCGTTAAGGCAGCATCTTCATATTCTGTAAGATGTTATCATATATCATATACTGCAATCTGTTCTACTGAACATGTATAGAGTATTTGAGCAGTTCAACAAATATGAAATTGTAATGTTCTTTTTCGTTCCAAATACATTGAAGAAAGCTTCCCAGCAACTGTTATTATAGATTAAGTAGATATCACCGATATGGAAAATTATATTTGTGATGCTGAGTATAGTATTATTCATTGACTCGTAACCATGAAATAATCACAGACAATAATCCAAAATTACTTGCTCCCACCCCTTTACTTTTTGAACTCAACATCCGACTATCTATTTGTTTGGCAGACGCATAAAAGATCATTTATATCTTCCTAGTTAAACTGTAAAACACTAAAGAAAATGATTAATCAATTAAGGAAGAAGGATTTGTGTTGGTTGAAACGACTCACTCTCAAGAAACTCGTCATATTTATCAGCTTCAAAACCCTCATTGTTGAAATATTTGACAGTCTGAAAAGAAAATAGAGAGGACTTGAAAACCATAAGTAAATTACTATTATATCGTTCCCTTGCAGAATAATTCTCCCACAGAAGTGAGCTTACCTCATAGTTAATTAAAGAATCAATTGAGCGTGTATTAGCATCATTATCAGCTTTATTCATCGCCTTCCTGAACTTGGTTCTCCACTACAACAGAAATTCAATAACAACAATCTTAGGTCCTCAAACAACTTGGAACCAATACAAAGAATCAAGCATCCCAAACTAGAGTTATGCCTCTCTAGCAGTAACTCAAACGGATAAGTATTATACACAAAACAAAGACAATATCGAAAGTGAAGAATTCAAGACGGAACCAGTACAGACGAGATGCTTCTTTCTGAGAATGGTTAACTGAAGACACTATAAAGAGGATGCAACGAATGAGATGAACATTTTTTCCTCAAATAACTGAAGAGGTAAAGAAAATCTACCTGTGTTGTAGCCAATGTGAAAGCTATATAGGCTGCCATAGACAAGGAAGTAATCCATGCAAATGGAGCTCCAAATTTATAAGCAAGAATGCCAGATACCATTGATATCTGAAAAGTCGGACACTTGGATTGTCAAAGATTTTAAAAAAGGAATTGAGTTTTAACAACAGTGATAAAACCTAGACTGAACTCAAATAAGTAACTGCTAGTTACAGTGAAGTTAACGAGGAAACAGATCAAGTAAATCACAGGACAATTACCTCTAACAATGTAGGTACAACATTGAAGACCATCGCCCCAAGAATAAAATTTATAGCACGGTTACCACGGTCAATAATTCGATTAAGAGCACCTGTTTCTCGACTAGAAACAAAGACAGAAACATAGTCGTTTGCACATCAAAAACCACTGAAAGCAGAGCAAAAAGGACAACAATGTATAGAAATATAAAGCAACGGGTAAGTAGAATAAAAGTAACCGAAACAAGAAGCTGAAAAGAAGCACTTCCGATAACATTTAAACTACCACAATGCATTAACACGCACCAAAATACCAACAAGCAGCCTGACGAACCTCAGAATAAATATTTACTAAGAGAGATAACAAATTACCTAAGGTGATACCGTAAGTCAAGCTCGTGCAAATGTGAAAAGACCTGTGGAAAATTGTGCCAACAGTATGTATTAGCCAAAAGATGTCTTTAATTTAAACTTTAGATCATCCATTTGAATAGTTTGTATCAGTTAAATGACGGGCGCATTTGCTGGCCATAGGTAATTCGTGAATTGATAGGTAGTTCTGTGTCCTTGCTGAACTCCTTTCTTCACAACTACCCATGAACACTCAACTGTACTAGCTAAAACAAAATGACTTAACAAGCAAATCAAACATATGCTACAGGTGTTAACAGACACCTATAGGGGTAATCAAAATCGGTAACACGAAACTTGCAAATCGGTATGCTCTAAATCGAACAGAAAATTCCAGGTTAGCAATAAGTTACCAATTGAACTTTGGTCTGAAAAGGTCTTTCGTTTTTGGTTCAACAAACCTCATGGAAAACTAGCCAACTTTATATGTATTTTATTTTACTTTAATGTTTATGGTTCAAAATTGTTTCATTTCCAATATTTTACAAAATCATATAAAATGTTACAACTAAGAGACTAATACATAATTTTGAATACAAATTATTTGCTCCTAAGAAGTATAAACCAGTAAAAACTAAAAACAAAGTATAGGAAGCGAAAGAGGGGGGGGGAAGGAATTACAAGAAACCTATTATCATACCTCTCGTGAAACTTGTCGTATCGTTCTCAAGGCCACCTTAGAGAATATTGCAGTTCGTAGTTCTACAGCAAAGTAATTGCAGTAAAAATAATGAAAAAAAAAAATGGAAGAAAAGGCGAGCATATGTCATTGTGCATGCACTCTCTCCACACTAAAACAAATGAACTAACTTCAGTTCCAACATCTTAAGAGCAATATTTGACCGAAAATTCAGGTAAGTTCGAGACAATATACCATTAAAAGCGGACGCCCCAGCTCGAGCTATACCGTATCCAATCAGAACCGCAACTGGGGTAGCAAAAAGAGCTAGAAAGGTAGAATTAGCAGCCGCAAACTCAGCAAGAGCACCGGGACTGCCTGTGGCCGTTGCTAGCCAATCAACGGCAAGCTTAAACAAGATTGGAACCTGAACATTTACCACCTGCGCAGACACCAACCAATCGGCAAAGGAATGCGGAATCGGAAGCTAACAAACATCGACACGACTTCTGAAAAAATGAAAGGAGTAACCTTTTACCTTGGCGCCAATCAGAAGGGCCAAGGCAGTTACTATTCGAAGCCGAAACTCAAGATTATCCGTCATCCATAGGTACTTAGCCAGAGTCCCCATGATTTTGGTGTCGGGAACACGCCCTTCGGAAGATACAGCTTTCCTCGCCAACTTCACCGGCTCTTGCTTCGGTGCCGGATTTGCATCTGTTGAAAACAGCGCGTACCCATTTGGCTGTGAACCCTGGTCTCAAAAAAAAAAATAACAAAACCCCATCAGCTTCCAGTTACACGACATGATTCTTGTAAACAAAAAATTACAAATTTGATGTAATTGCACTGACGGGTTTCTGAGGAGGTGTGGACGGGTAATCGGATTGGAAGGCGTTGATCTTCGGCACAGACGACGTCGTTCTGGCTGAGGTCCACAACCTCCTGCACTGACTCGAGAGGCTTGGAGCTCCGAGGAAGATGGAGCGGCGATTGGGCTGATGCGCGGCGCGTGGCGCACATAGAGCTGTCTGAAGTGGAGTACGATTAAGACGTCGAGAAGGAACAGCGAGGTTCATGATCCTCATGCACCTGGACGCAATCTTCACCTGCATGCTTTTCCGCGTCTGCTGGTCTCAGCGCATTTGAAGACGGACTGAAAAAAAGTCCCAACAAGTGGTTGATAAAATGTCTCAAGAGTGGACTGGACTCGAATGAAAATATTTTTTATTAATTATGTTTTCATTTATATAGTACATAAATTTAAAAATAGAACAATCAAAAAAATAAAAGAGAAAAAATGATTAAAATATGAGAATAAATAGTGAATATTACGAAAGTCGGGCATGAATGTATTCTTTTTAAAAAGATGAAGGAGAGTATGGTGGTCATAGTCTGACCAATTGGATTCGAGCATGCCCCGACCAATCAAATTCTTAAACCAAAATTGAACCGACTATTTCGTTGTTCTTATTTCATTTTGGAAACTCATCTTTCAGCTCTCAATGGGTCGATTTTAAAAAAATATATATTTTTACTAGCTAACATAATATGATTAGTGGAAAATTGAGGAACATTAAAATAAATTAATTTGGATTTAATTAAAATATTATAAGTTTATATAATGTTGTATGAATTTGTGGTACTAATGTCATCTCTTCATTTTCTTAAGTTCGTCTAAGAGAAAAATCAATATATGAACCAAGCTATTCATAAGAAAATTAATGAAAGCACGACAAATCTACACATTTTCTCTTAGGTGATAATGAATTGAACTATATATCTTGACAGGCTTTTGCCCAACTTGCAACTTTGTGCATTGAAACTTGTTAGTAGACCGTATTTTATGTGAAAAAATCAATGGTCAATAAGTCTCGATGAACAAAGCCACAAGTTAGACATACAATTTCCAAAAAGAATATGGAGATTGAGAAGATATGGTAAAAGAAAAATATATAAACAAAGAGTTAGAATAATGAGATACTAAGTAACAATTCGAAGAAAAAATTGATGTCGAACACTGTTTCAACTTGAGCGATCCTCGACCATTGATCTTGCACCAGTAACAAAATCCAACAATCGAGACAAAACAAACAATTGTTAGACCAACCGTTTTCGGATCCAACTTGGCCAGGCACGAGCGAGTACCAACTTAAATTTTTAAATTTGAATTTGAATTTGAAAATTTTAAACGAACAAGTCATATTGACAATCCAATCGCTTAAAAAAAACTTGACAATCTAAAATTGACCCGTGTATATGGCCCGAAACTCAAGTGAATGGCCAGAGTTGCTAGTTAAAAGGTCGAACCGTGTATTTGTATACTAAAAAACTCAATCCATATTCAGTTCATACTCAAAATATAACTGAACTTTAACTTAACTTCACTACCCTCAATATTATTAATTTAATTAAATAATATCAATGCAATCAATCTTAAATATCACATCAACTTTAATTTACTATTCATCCACTCTCATAATTTTAACTAACTATCACTTTAAATCATTTTTCTCCTACTTTTACATCAAATCAATTGTAATCATTTTATTTTAAATATTATTTTAATATAAATTTAAAATTCCACTAGCAACTAACCATACAGCTTTTTTTAAAAACTAATTATGATTAACTAAAAAAAATCATTGTGAGTGGATATATTTTTATAGAAACACGCATGTGAACCAACCCAGCCCGATGGACATGTTTGGTAATAACTAATACTAGTATGACACCCGTGTACTACACGGATTGTTTGAAAAAAAAATATAAAACATAAAATAATAGAAAAAACACATGTTGTTGTATAACTATTTCAACTCTTTAAAATATATTAGAAAGATCATGTAATATTCTATAACTATTTCAACGTATTTTTATAGACATTCTAAAAATATTTAAATAATATATTTATGGTTGGATTGAAAAGATATAATATGCAAGTGGCTATATATTTTTTGTAAAATTATAGTATTTTTTTAACTTAAACTATATAAAAAAAGTTATTGTTTACATTAATTATATAAATAAAATAATATATAAAGCTAAATTTTTTATAGACATTCTAAAAATATTTAAATAATATATTTATGGTTGGATTGAAAAGATATAATATGCAAGTGGCTATATATTTTTTTGTAAAATTATAGTATTTTTTTTAATTTAAATTATATAAAAAAGTTATTGTTTACATTAATTATATAGATAAAATAATATATAAAGCTAATTTTTATATTTTTGGTTTAGACGACATATAAGATAAGAATCATATTTCTTTATATAAGATAAGAATCATATTTATTTTGGAGTTGGGGGATTTATAACGGCATATAAGAATCCTATTTATTTAGGAGTTTGAGGGATCGTATTAAGTATTTTATTTTAAACAATTAGGGAATGTATCCGAACCAAAAGCCGAAACATGTAATGTTGCCAAATAAGCTTCGGAAGCGTGAGAGGCAGCCATTTAGGCTCAGCACGTTTTCAAATTATATTAAGAGGGGATCAGACAAACATGAATTTTTTTCTTTTCTTCTTTAAAAAAATAAATATATTAATGGGTAGTTCTTCCGAACCATGCCTTTCGAAGCGAAGGTATGACTAATGGTGTGAACGAGCCTAGTCCAACTTGAGCGCATGATATTTAAACTCAAGATCGAACCTGAATAAGTCAAACTCGAGACTTACGAGTCGAGCTATAAAAATTATATTTTTGGGTCTTGATGAGCTGATAAACAAGCTAAAGAGAGAAATGAGACGAGTAGAACTGGATTCATGAACGACTCATTTCGTTTAGTAACTATAGGTAAGATATAGTAACGTACGAAATGAACGTGATATAAAATGCATTTTGATCCATTAAAAAAATCCAAATGCCAATGAAAAAATGGGATATTTTAGCTCTAGTCCACACAGAGACATAACTAAAAATGCGAATGATACCCGTTTATCTCCATACAGACTCAATTTTGTGTGTTATATGCAATAAAAAACTCATGGCCTCGTTTGTTGAGTAATTTTCTCTTTTTATTTTTCAGTCGCAAGGTTGCATTTAGGAATCATCATGACAGCAAATGGTGTGAAAACATTGCGGTACCAAACTAGCTAAAAGATTTACTGTTGCTTGGGGTAATGTCGTGGGTATATACTAGTTTATTTATATCACCGCAATAAACAAACTACAACTCCACCACGGGAATACCACGAGTATACAATGTTTATCTATGTAGTGCTTGGGTATAAATTCTGATCGGATTAATCATAACTCAAATTTAACTTAAATTAAACTCTACATCAACTCTCCTCACTATCATCAATTTGATTAAATATTACTGTAAGATTTATAGAATTGGGCCAAGAGAGTGCGATCCCAGATGAAGCTCACCATAAGAGGGTGGGCCTAGGTGCACCATAGTGAGGTTCTATCCCAAACCCAATTGGTGATGGGAGGAGTAGTCCACTAGGCATGTAAGCTAGGTCTATTTTCCCTATAGAATCAATGTGGGACAACTCATAAGTGATATTCCAACATGCCCCCTCACTTGCGAGTCCTTCATAAGCCCAAGTCTAGAAAAGGCTGGGTAGAGATATAGAGTCCAAGCCCATAACAAGTTGGGTAGAGATATAGAGCCCAAACCCAGAGCAGGTCGGTAGAGATATAGAGCCTAAGCCCAAAGCAAGCTGGTAGAGATGTAAACCCAGACCGAAGTTGGCTTGGGTCTGATACCATGTAAGATTTATAGAATTGGGGCAAGAGGGTGCGTAGGCCGAGTAGAGATATAAACCCAGACCAGAGTTGGCTTGACTCTAATACCATGTAAGATTTATAGAATTGGGGCAAGAGGGTGCGGTCCCACACAAATGAAACGCACCATAAGAGGGTGAGCCTAGTGAAGTTTCATCCCAGAACTAATTGGTGATGGGAGGAGTAGCCCACTAGGCATATAAGCTAGGCCTATTTTTTCTATAGAATCAATGTCAGACAAACTCATAAGTGATGTTTCAACAAATACCAATCAACTATCCTCACATATAACATTAACTTTAACTATTCATTATTTCACATAATTTTAACAATCAATCACTTTCAATCAATTAACTCATACTTTTACATCAAATGAGCTTTAATCATTGTATTTTATAAATTATTTTAATACAAACTCAAAATCATACTCAAACCTAGCCGAATAAATATTTTCAAAATTAACTATAGTTAAAGAAAACAATCAAAACCAAAATATCCAATAAAAAACTTATATCCGTTCACACCGTTATATTTTTGTTGTACCAAAGGTGTGATTGAATATGTATTTGATTTGATTTGCTTGGTTTTTTAGTTAATAACAATTAGTTTTAAAAGGATGATATGACTAATTGTTAGTGGAATTTTAAATTTATATTAAATTATTATTTAGAATAAATTAATAAAAGTTGAGTTGATGTAAAAGTATAAGAGAGATAATGTGAAGTGATGGTTAGTTAAAATTACGTGAGTGAAAAATAGTTAATTAAAAACGTAAGAATAATTGATTGATATTATTTAATTATATCGATACTATTGACGAAAGTGATATTATTTTAAAGTTGAGTTAAAAAAATAATTGAGTTAAAATAATTGTTTTTTTAGATTTGATTCATATCCAATCACAGAGAAATGATTCCCTACCCACGGTGGACACATGTTAATATGTCCACCGCTTATGTGACATGCACACATTGGTGATGTTAATATATTGATAAAATACATCACCAATGTATGCATGCCACATAAGTGGTGGACATATTAACATGTACTCATCGTGGGTATGGGAGCATTTCCGTCCAATCACAACCTAAGCCATGCAATAGTAACACCTCCACTAGTTGATAGTTAAAATGAACAAAAAAAATGTGGCAATTAAAACACCATGATAATACTATGAATGTAAATTGATTCATTTATTAAAATTAATGTGAAAATAAATATTCTAAAAACATTCTTTTAAATTAACAAATAGTACAATAATTGGAGATGACATACATACTGATTTCATTTGCTACTGTTTCCAACATTTCATGACTTGTAAACATAGAATTCTCTCGAAGGAGAGTCCTTTCTCTTGATCGAAGAGCAACTTCTCTTATCGAAGAGTTTTTTCTCTCAGCGGAGAGACTCTTGATTTCCACATCAATTTTACAGCTTCATAATCCGCCTAATCTCTCAATTTAGGGTAATTGAATATTTCAAGAATTGAATATTTCAAGAAATAGGGTTGATGGAGGGGAATAACTCCATCGATGTTGTGGAGGAAGTGGAGCGTCGATTGAACGCTTTCTCCCTATCAGTCAAAGAAAATGAGATAATTGACATAGGTGATGCAGATGTTAAAGCCAACAATGAAGAATGCCAGCTCAGTCTCTTTGGGAAGATTGTTGGTGACAAGCGAGCAAATCTAGTGGGCATTAGAAGGGCGATGAATCAAATCTGGAGATTAAAAAACCAGGTCGAGGTAAGGAAATTGGAACCCAATTTTTTTCAATTCTTTTTTGCAAATAAGGACGATATGAAGAAGGTGGAGGGACGCACGGATTGGATATTTGAGAATCAATATCTGATTCTCAAATCATGGTATGAGAAATTAAGAAGTACTGATCCTTGTTTCAAAGAAATTAGCTTCTGGGTTCAAATTCATCATATTCCATTAAACTGGCTTACTTCTGAAGTGGGGCTCAAGATTGGCCGTATTTGTAAATCGGTGTCCAATGTTCTAGTCTGCAATCTAGGCCCCCAAGGTGGCAGACTTATTAAGTTGCTAGTTACAGTGGACAACAATGAAGCCTTACCCAGGTGTGCTTCCATTCGGCTGGGGTCTCAACTTACCACAATAACCTTTAAATATGAGCGACTGGTCAATTTATGTTTCTATTGCGGCAAAATTGGACACATTGAGAAGAATTGCAGCCAAAGAATGGAGGATGTCAAGGCAAAGACACTGCACGAAGGACAATACGAAGATTGGCTTCGAGCATCGGATGGGTTGCAAAGTCAGAATCGGAACAACACCAATTCTATATCTACATCTGATCATCTTCATGAAACCGAATCACCACATGCTGTACCTGATGACCTTACTAATGCTCAAGGAGAGTTATTGAAGAATTCCTTAGAACAGATAGACAGTCCAAGAAATCCAGACAATAGTACATCGGGCAAAGGGTTCAGCTCATCCTGCAAAACACCAACAGCCCCACCAGACAATCAGATCGTAATTCAATCAATGTCAACCCCTATACAAAACATCATGGATGACCATCTTGCTAGTTCAGACTGTCAAAAGTTGGACATGGAGCAAACCATCATCCAACTGCCTACCACACAACAGAAGGAAAACAAAACCCAACAAACTCACACAAATCAAATGACACCAATGAAGACTGAAAAAGAGCAACCTCTAAAGTGGACAGATTACAAGGGCATTCAAGCTCTTCCCAATCACAGCAAGGAGCTGCAGCCACCAAAAGACAAAAGGGAAGACAATGCAAACTTTGGTACTCTTCCTAATCTTACTATGATATCCTTTGAACAACAAAACAAAAAACCAAAAGTGCTTGCTGAAAAGGAGTTGAGGGCCAGCCTTAAAGAGCCCTCACCGACACCATGAATGCTCTGGTGTGGAACTGTAGAGGTCTGGGTGGGCCCTCTATAGTTTCCCAGATCAAGGAATCCATCAGGATCCACCACCCCTCTTTTATTTTTCTTTCAGAAATTAAAAAAAATTAAATTCTTTACTCAGAAGGTGTGTCATAAATTGGGATATGAAGGCATGAATTTTATTGTTCCCCCTGTGGGAACCAGAGGAGGCATGGTACTGCTTTGGGACTCCAATACTCAAAGTTTACAAATTCAAAGCAAGCCATTTTTCATAGCAGTACAATATGTGGAACAACTAAATCAGTCATGTTGGGCCATATTTGTTTATATGAGTCCCTACAGAATTGATAGAGAAGCTCAATGGGAATTGTTGCAGCATGAAAAATCAAAATGGGGAACACTATGGTACATTGCCGGAGATTGGAATGATTTGTTCAAGCCAGAGGATAAAAAATGAGGGAGGACTAGATCTCAAGCCAGTTGTTGGGGTTTTAATAATTTTCTAGCACAGATGAGAGTTCACGAGATTGCACACAGAGGCCTTCAGTTTACTTGGGCCAACAACAGAATAGGGGAGGGCTTTGTTGAAGAAATTCTTGACAGAATGTTTGTTTCGCTAGATTGGCTCCATCACTTCCCCTCAACTCAAGTCACCAACTGGTTCAGAAGCGCATCAGACCATGGCATGCTCATTATCCAAACTAAAGAAGCCGTGACCATACCTAAAAAACGATTTCAGTTCGATAAACGGTGGCTACACAAAGAAGGGATTTCTGCAGAAGTTAAAGCAGCCTGGGAAAAAAGAGCAAACAGGAACTCCTATGTATATCATTAAGGAAAAGATAAAAAGAACCAGACAGACACTGCTCAAATGGAGCAAATATTATCATTCTAATCACTCTGCTAAAGTCAAACATCTAACTCTACAGCTAGAAGAACTAAGGATAGCTGGAGGAGAGAGGGACTGGGACACATGGGACAGAATACAAAAAGAGTTAGTTGAAGCCAATCTTTTAGAAGAAATCTACTGGCAGCAGAAAACAAGAACTCTGTGGTTCAAGGAGGGAGATAAAAATTCCAAGTTATTTCATGCTTATGTTGCCCAAAGAAGGAAAATGAATTCCATTGTGAAGTTACTAGCAGAATGGAACAGATTAATTGAAGACCTTGAGGAGATACAGAAAATGGTGGCAGAATATTATAAGCAACTATTTACCTCAACAGGCTCTGAGCAAGGACACCAACTGTTGCCATTAATAAAGAAAACAGTTTCAGATGATATGAACTCTGTTCTTACAGCACCAGTTGAGGATGAAGACATCAAGAAGGCTGTATTCTTTATTCATCTAGACAAAGCCCCTGGAGAGGATGGCATGACAGGGCTTTTTTTCCAGCATTTCTGGCCCATTGTGGGGGAGGACATCTGTTATGTAGTCAAGTCTTTTTTCACTTCTGGACAGCTCTTAAGGTACTGGAAGCATACACTCATAACTTTAATTCCAAAATGTAATAACCCCATATCCATCAATCATTTCAGGCCCATAAGCCGTGCAGTATTCTACAAAATTATCTCTAAAATCTTGGCACTAAGGCTTAGACAATGTTTAAGTGACTGCATCTCAGAAAATCAAACAACATTTTTACTTGACAGACAACTATTAGACAATGTAGTCTTGGGGCATGAAATTTTTCATTTTTTAAATAGACACAGGTCGGGCAAAAACTATTTTATGGCATTAAAGCTGGATATGTATAAAGCTTTTGACAGTTTAGAATGGAAAGCTGTTCAACTAACCATGATCAAAATGGGGTTCTCTTCTTTATTTGTTAAATGGGTTATGGCCTGTATCCAATTTCCCACCTTCTCTTTTAATTTGAATGGCAAGATATATGGCTTTATCACAGCGTCCAGAGGAATTAGGCAAGGGGATCCCTTGTCCCCTTATCTATTTATTATTATTTCTTATCTACAAATATTTCTGATGAAGCAGAAAAGGGGAGTTATAAAGGTATCAGAGTTTCAGAGGGAGGTCCAATGCTCACTCATTTAATGTTTGCTGGTGATACATTGCTTTTTTGTAATGCCAATGAGTCTCAGGCTCTGAAAATTCAATCTATTTGCCAAGCTTACAACAAATTTACAAGGCAGAAGGTTAATTGGGCTAAGTCCACTATATTTTTCAACAAAAATACTCCAAAAGTTGTGCAAGATATGTGCCGCCAAATCCTCACTGGAATACAAATTCATACATCAACAAGATACATAGGCCTTCCCCTAGGCATTGGCAGATCCAAAAGGGAGGCATTTGCTTATATTCTGGACGTGGTGAAGAAAAGAATTCAGAGCTGGAAAATAAGTGGCTATCTACTGCAGGTAAAGAAATTTTGATTAAAGCTGTGATCAATTCTTTACCCATATTTTCCATGTCATGTTTTGTTCTGCCAGTAGGACTATGCAAGGAGATAGCAAGCATCTACAGTCATTTTTTGTGGAGCAAGGGGACTGAACTGCAAAGAGGTATACATTGGAGTTCATGGGACAAATTAACTTTGAATAAAAAGCATGGGGGAATGGGCTTTCAGGATATACAATTATTCAACACTGCACTTATAGCCAAACAAATTTGGAGGTTGGTCACACAACCTCATACTCTGGTATGTAGAGTTTTAAAAGCCAAATATTTTCCAAATTCCTCTATCTTTGATGCAAATAGGCAGCAGAATGCCTCATGGCTATGGAGCAGTTGGTTAATTGTCCTTAAAGATTGTGGGAAATGGATGCAAGTGTAGATTATGAGTGGCACTAACACAAGAATATGGGACCAGCACTGGATTCCTAATCATATTGGCAAGACTGTGCCACTTAATGAAGGCATTGACAAGGGAATCAATTGGGTAAGGGATCTTATGTCCACTGATGGCTGCCACTGGGATATCCATAAAGCGAAGAGCACCTTTCCACCAAATATTAGTGATTCTATTCTCAGTATCAACACTATCAATCCTAATCACCCTGACAAATGGATTTGGAGGCTTAATAATAAAGGTATCTTTTCTGTTAAATCTACTTATCCCCAACTCATTACAGAAAAGGCCTTGTAGATTGATCAACCAGAAGGAAGCTGTGATAGATTACATGGAATTAAAGCTAGAACCAGGATATGGAAGCTCAAAGTAATGGGTAAGGTAAAACACTTTATATGGAAATGCTTGTCTGGGGCATTACCTGTTAATCTGAATTTAAGAATCAGAGGAACAGAGGTTGATGTCATTTGTCCTGTCTGTGGGGAAGCTGAAGAATCAATAGAACATATATTCTTTTACTATACACAAGCACAGCAGGTATGGAAGCTAGCTCCAGTACATTGGGAAGGCCCTCAAGAGTCTCAGAATTTCAAGTCCTGGTGGTGGCAAGTCTGCAAGCTGAACAGAGATGACACATCAGAGGCAAGGTTACAACTTTCAACATATATACTCTGGTGGTTATGGAAATGTAGGAACTTATGGGTTTTTGAAGGAGTCAAAAGGCCTGCATCCTCCACAGTTAAAGCAGCTGTACAAGATTGGAGAGCTTACTTGGAGGCAAATGGAGCAGGCCTCAGCACTTGCAACATTTCTTGAATGATGTTTATCAACTTTTGGTTTTATTTATCTAGCTTCTGAGCTGGTTGTCTTCTTTATTTGTTGTTTTAACTTAAAAATTTGGTATCATAAGGGTAAGGGCCTCAGTTGTCTTCTAACTGCCTTACCCTTTTTTTCTTTTTGTTTGATTGTCTAGACCACTTCAAAGTGGTTCTCCCATTGTCGGCTATTAATATTGTGTATGTTGATTTTCCTTGTAAGAACATTGTATAAGTGTTTTTGGTTCTAATGAATGAGATCATCTGTCAATTGGAAACAAAAATGACTTGTAAACATAATAAAAAATCATATCTATGATATCTTATCAATTACACTACCCTGGAACTTCATGATAAAAATAATACTAACAAATGTGTATCTTACCTTTTAAAAAAAACCACCATATTTTATTACATTTTTTTAATACTTTAAAATTTAATTTAAATTAAATGAAAATAATTATTTTAATTAAAAATATGCATAACATTAGAATAATAAATAATGAATCGTCTATTGAACCAATATTTAACTGTTTGCTCGAATGTGTGACTCTAGATGGACTACAATGGAGGGTTATAACCAGGAAGTGGAAGAAGCTTGGAAAAAGAGAGTGGAAGGGCCCAAGTTATTTAGCCTTCAACAAAGAATCAGAAATGTCAGAGTGGCTTTGTTAAATTGGAAGGCCAGTCAGAGGACTAATTCAGCCATTGTTATCCAAGAATGTAAAGAGAAGCTTAATGCTCTAGAAGCTCAGAAGGGGTTCAGAGATTGGGAAGAATAGGAGAGTTGCAAAGCCCAACTTAATCAGGCTTATAAGGATGAAGAACTTTATTGGCTGCACAAATCTAGAGTGTTATGGTTGAAGGGAGGGGACAGAAATACTAAATTCTTCCAAACTAAAGTAAAACAGAGAAGGATGAGAAATGGTTTGGGGAATCTAGTAAACTCAAGGGGACAGAGGTGTGCTAACACTAAAGAAGTGGAGAATGAAGTTATGGTTGATATAACCATATTAGCATGTACCGGTCCGAGGGCGTTCTATTCGACCGGACAAGCGGTCAGATCGGCCTCACATCAACCCACACCAGTCAACATACAAAGATCGACCTCTACACAAAACGACTCCGAAGGAAGGACAAAACCCACAAGTCGACTCTCAGAAGTCGACACCCAGTAATCGATTCCCAGAAGTCGACACTCGCGAGTCAACCTCCGTAGGTCGACCTAAAAGGAATGATAGTAGGACTAGCCTCTGAATAAGAGCCCCAAGTCGACCTCTTGGCCCTCGAGACCGACTTCTTACACCTCGAGGTCGAGATCACAAATCGACCTCCACTCAAAGATAACCATGCGTAGCCTCCGAATCCTCACAGGAACATAAGTCGACCTCATAGCTCTCGAGGTCAACTCTTCGTGTCTCGGGAACGAAGACGTGATGACGACTCATCACACTTGCAATATACTTAAAACTCTACATTCTTCAAAGGATAAAGAGGAATCTTATGATGACTCAGCAGTAAGGGGAGACGAACCGACCAGGGCACTTTGGACCTTTCACATAGGTCGGCCGGGATATTTTGGAGACTTCAAGTAAGTGTTTCCTCCTATATAAAGGAGGTGAGGTAACCCTAAAACCCCAACTTTTATTCATTCTCTACACTCTCCCTCATAGCTGCTGCGCAGCATCCTTTCATCTCTCTGATACTGACTTGAGCGTCGGAGGCTCTACGCCGGAAACACCTCCGGCGTTGAGTTCTTTGCAGGTATTCTCGCGGTCTGGCAACGATTCAGAAGCGGTTCAAACATATATGAGCTCAAATCCATCGGTTCTCTTCAGATCTAGAAGTAGACCCATCAATGGTCTACTTTGAAAACTTGTTCAAGTCTTCATAACCTCAAGGGGAGTTGAGTTGCTTGACTGGGATCCCAACATCCATTACAAGTGAAATGAATAATCAGCTTATCAGAGAAGTGACAGAGGAAGAAATAAAGATGGCTCTTATAGATATGGACCCCAATAAAGCACCTGGAATAGATGGTATGTCCCCTGTTTTTTTTTCAAAAATCCTGGCTTGTTGTGAAACCTCAACTATGTGCTGCAATGAATAACTTCTTTATTTCTGGTAGAATCCCTAAAGCCACAAACCATACAGTTGTTACTCTCATTCCCAAATCCTTCAGACCTATAAGCCTTTGTACAGTTACTTATAAAATTATTGCCAAGGTTCTTGCTAATAGAATGAAACCCTTTTTGAATACCTGCATTTTCCAAATCAGCTTTCATCCCTAACAGACAATTTTTAGATAATGTGATCATGGCATCAGAATGCATATATTTTCTTAATGGCAAAAAAAAAAAGGAAAGATCAATACATGGCTGTTAAATTAGATATGTCCAAAGCTTATGATAGAGTAGAATGGTCATTTTTAGCTAAAGTTTGTCTTAAAATGGGTTTTTGCAGAAAATTTGTTGCTTGGCTTTTGGCTTGTATGAGTGGTGCATCATTTTCTTTCAATATTAATGGGCAAGTGTGTGGGTCTGTCCTTCCTACTAGGGGATTAAGACAAGGGGACCCCTTGTCCCCTTATCTTTTTATCTTTTTATCTGAGGCCCTATCTAATGCCCTTAATAAATCCTGTCTTAGAGGTGAGTTTCAAGGTCTTAGGATTAGTAAAAACAGTCCTGTGTTAAGCCACTTATTTTTAGTTGATGATGTTATCATATTTGGGAAGGCTTCAACTTCTCAAGCCACCACCTTGTTAAACATTCTGAAGGAGTATGAGAGACAGTCTGGTCAAATGGTCAATCTTCAAAAATCAGCAGTCTTCTTTTCCAAAAACAGTCATGAGAGTACTAGGTCAGCTGTGTGTCAAATTCTTGGGGGTCTTGCCTTTGTCTCTTCAGCCAAATATTTAGGTCTGCCCTTAGGAATTGGAAGATCCAAGAGGGACATTTTTAGATATGTGAGTGAGGTAGTGATGAAAAAAACCAGATCTTGGAGTAATATTTTTTTTAGTGATGCAGGGAGGGAGATTTTTATCAAAACAGTCTTAAGTGCAATGCCTGTGTATGTTATGGCTTAGTTCAAGTTACCAGTTGCTGTGTGCAAAGACATATGGAAACAGGTAGTTGACTTCTGGTGGGGACAAAAAGAAGGGGGAGGTAGCAGAATTCATTAGTCCACATGGAAAGAACTGGCTAAAGAGAAGGAGGATGGAGGATTGGGATTTATGGACCTGGGAGCTTTCGATGAGGCCTTAATTGTTAAACAGCTCTGGAGAATACTTACTAATCCAAACTTGCTGATGCGTAAGGTAATGAGGAGCAAGTATTTCTTTAAAGCCAATCTATTTGAGGTTAAGAAGAGAGATGGAGATTCTTGGCTGTGGAAGGGATGACTGAGCTCTAGAAATGCTTTGAAGAAAGGGTTGAGGTATCAAGTAGGAGATGGTTCTAGTCTGGATATTTGGAAGTCTCCATGTCCAAACTTGCAAAATTTTCAACCATCTTGTATCTTTGAGGCTAACAAAACCAGATTAAAAAGGGTGAGTGACTTATTTGTGGAAGGTGAAAGAAGATGGGATAAAGAGTTGATTGAACAGACATTCTGCCCACATGAAGCTCAGTCCATTCTAAAAGTACAGATAAGCCACACTCAAAATGCAGATAGGCTGAATTGGCACTTCCATCCTAAAGGGGTATTCTCAGTTAAAACAGCCTATAAGAATATCATGCATCACAGGACCTGTTCTGAAGGGTTGGCTTCATCAAGCAGAAGAGGAGATGTTCTTAAACTGATGTGGAAAAGAACCTGGCAATTACCCATGCATCCTAAGCTCAAAAATTTTATGTGGAGGCTCTACAATGGATTTATAGGGACTAAAGCCAATCTGATAGGCAGAGGTATGAGAGTGGATCCAGATGCTCTGTGGGGAGGACCAGGAAGATACTGAACATCTCTTCTATAAATGTCCACAATCTTCTATTTGCTGGGAAGTGTTGGGACTGGAGTGGACAAGATTACAAGGTAAGGCAGAAAGTTTGAAAACATAGTGGGAAGAAGTTTGTTGTAGTACAAGGCATCCTAAAATTCAACAGAGAATAATGCTATCTGTTTGCCTATTGTGGAGGATTTGGAAAGCTCGAAATAACAAGATTTTTAGCAAAGAGCCTTTCAAAGAACTGGAGGTGATGAAAGGAGCTAGAAGAGATTGGGTGGAATTGTGTGAGAGTTTTGAAGCTGCTTCAAGTCAATTTGCTGTTCTAAGGGAGGAAGAGCAAAAGTCCAAAGGCACTCTGCCACAAAGAGAACAATTTTCCCCGAGGGTAGGGCTTGTATCCATACAAGCTAGTGCTCTATGTTCACCTGATGGCAAAGCTGCTTTACATGGTATAGCATGGCTTGAAGGACAACAGATATCTTCATGGCAACATTGGGAGAGCTGGACTGAAAATCAAACAGCTGCTAAACTGCTAGCAGTGAGAAAATCCCTAGAGGAAGCCACAAGACAAGGCTGGACAGAGATACAATGTTGTATTAAAGATTTGAAGCTGTTAGAATGTCTACATAGCCATTGTAATCTGCCTCCTGATCTATCTGTGGTTTTTCATGATGTTTTAGAACTGATGTCAGGCTTTGAAGTTTGTAATTTTGTTTTTTCTGTTTCAGTAATGGATTTTAGGGACCATGATGGTCGTGCAGGGTGATTCTATGGAAATTTCTCGTTCTTTGTCCTTCTAGCTTTGGAGTTAGATAGGTTGGAGATGTAACTTGTTGGTTACCGATGTACTGTTCTTGGGATTTTAATATAATGGTTTTCGTTGAAAAAAAAAAAAAGAC